CCGCATAAAGATGTTTGTACTAGCATGTATTAAACGTAAGTATTAAGTCAAGAAAATAAAAAAATTTTAACTATTAATTATTATTTTCTGTAACTGCAACCAATTAATAACTGCTATCTATATTTTTTTAATAATTGTTCTGTTTATGCTTTATGTGACTAAAGACATGTAAAGACAAACGAAGTACAATAATATTCCCTGTTTTTCATTGATTTTAGAGTAGTATATGTTACACAGGATTAATAATATTTATAAGATTTGAATGATCATTAAGGCATAATTTTACAAAATAGAAGTTTAAAACTTAGAATGTTCAAAGGGCTCTTTAAAAAAAATGAATTTTTGGTTATAAAACCAAAACTAGGTAAGTTCACTTTCAAGTTGCTTATACAATTTTCATGACTAGGCTATACAGTTATAGCTTTAAAATACTGTAACTAAATAACTTTACAACTAACTCAACCTTAAACCTAGCAGTAGGGATGAAAACAAGGTAGAACATAAATTTAAGATATCTTTTTCATAACAGTTAGTCTGGCTCTATCTAGTTTCAGTATAAATCACCTATGGTAAGAAGACAATTGAAGCCAAACCATGGTAATTAATTAAAATAGAAGTAACCTAGAAACCCGTTTTTACGAAATTTATGGTAATGGCAAAAAATCTAAGCGCCAATGACGATTCGTAAGTGCAGTGATAACTCTTCAAAATGAATTCTGGGATCATCCATTCTCTTCTTACTTTAGCTACAATTTGCGCACTATATAATAAAATATAGATGATTTATTTGTTGTATAATATACATATATTTGTAAAACATATGGAACTATTATTGTACTTCGTCAGTCTTACATAAGTTTTAACATTTTTAAGATATACAACTGATAATTAAGATTTGAGGAACTTAAATTTTGCAGATTTTTATTAAATCAATTGCAATTTAATTAAGAAATGAAGGATTCACATTTCAATAATTTTTAATTTTAATTAAATACATAATAAGTTTACAATAATTTCCCAGTTTCAGTTTCCATTTTATATTTACTGTTTTCTAGAAAAAAATATATACTTTATTGTAACTTTTTTATATTTTTTGCCCTCTCCTAGCTTCAGATAAAGAATGGCATTTAAGGCATTTTAGAAGCATCCCATTTCAGATAATATAATATTTTTCATATTTTGTCTAATGGATTGATTTTTAAATATATCAAGATTTTAAGATTTTTATGCATATTCGGCCAAAGTGAGAAAATGTTTTCACGGGATTCTCTTTTAATGCAATAAAATATAAATTAATTAAAAAAAATTTTTGACTTTTTCTTTTCATATGGCTCCAGTTTTTATATAATTTTTATACCCTACCGAATTTTAGCTTTTTTCGATTTTTTTTTCTTTCAAATTTACATTCTATCGATTTGTAAGATATTTTTTAATGTAAGCAACAGTATTCTCAAATTTTTGTAATGCATTATGTGATACAATACTTTTCTTGGCTTTTTGTCAGAAAAAAAACTTGTTTTTTAACGAGTCAACGATAAAAATTTTGTTCAATACTGTTGAATTTTTGTGTTAAATTAGATTTGTTTTGCTTGGCATGTGCATAGCTAGACTAGATAGAAAAATCCTGCATTTAGCTTGTGATTGTACATGACTTGCATGTTTTGTAACTATTACAGCATTGAATTTAAATCTTTAGTCTTTGAAAGTTTTATAGAAAACTCTTGCAAAGTTTTCTCCCTTTTGATCGAAAAGTACTATCTTTAATACTTATATTTCAACTGTAACAAAGATATGTTTGCTTTATATTTTTTCGATCACTGTTTAAAATAACTTGGTTGTATTGTACTTATACTCTCTGTAAATACGAGTATAATAGGCGTCTCAAGGTAACGTGATTTCCCAATCTTCCACATTTTCCCGCCTCCGTTTTGGAAATCTTGCTCCTTTTCAGCATCCTTTTCATTTGGAATATACTGGGGTAGGTAAAAGGCACGTTTTGCTGGAAAAAAACATGGTAATGGAGAGGGGAAAAGTGCGAAGAATGGGAAAATCGTTTAACCAAATCGTGCAGACACCCAATTTATTTACAAAGAATGTCACTATGTCTATAATAAGTCGGTGAACTTACTATAGACATAGCTCAAAATACGCGTTTTATAAAAATGGACATCCACCCAAAAAGTGTCTTAATTAAAATGAACATAGCTTAATAAGCGTGTTAAAGGAAACTGAACATAGCTCAAAGTATGCATTTAAGAAAATAGACCGAACTTGGAATGCGTGCTTGAAAAGTGTAAATTGGTCAAAATGCCCGTCAATAAAATTATACATGGCATATAATACTTTTTTTTTCGATATTAAACTATGAACCCAAATTTTTACCTCTTATGTTAACTCTTGAAAAAAGTGTGTACCAAATCTATATAAAAGTTTTCTGTTGCTTTTTAAAACATTTCTCTTGATCATTATTCACAAGGGGATGTGGTAGCTCAACTGTTAGAGCATCGTACCTTGATTCTGAGGGACCAGAGTTTGATCTTCAAAACCGCTAAAGGCCTGGTTTCGTAGGACAGGTCGGCATTTCAAAACGTTAGCTTGAAGAGAGCGCTAACCTCTGATTGGTCAATTTGTGAGTTAGACAGCATACGTCATCGAATTCTCAGCTTGAACGACAACTGCCGCCCGAATCAACTGCAATTAGATTACAACGTAACGTTAACGACAGAAGCAATGGTGGACAACAGGCAACAGAGCATTGAAATCCGCCAAGATTTTGAATTCGAGGAGAAATTAATCTCTGAAATTAAAAAATGACCTAATTTGTATATAAGATCTAAATCTTACAAAGATTCCGTGCTTAAAAACAATCTGTGATTACATATCAAAAGGTCATTTTTTTCCTCTAAAGCACTGGTCGACCTAATTTGTACGAGGTTTGTAAATTAAATAGTGGCAACTTAAACTTTAAACTCACAAAAGGGCGCGCATGCGTAAATAGGGTATGGGTGCGGTGAGGTGGCGCTGTTGTGGATGTGTAGAGTGCAAAAAACAGTCGATTTGCTTAGAAGGGTAGTTGTTGCGTGGCGTTAAAGTGAGGAGTTTCGTTTCCATCGCTCTAAAGCATGTTGTGAAAAGGCTTAATGACGAAAAAAGACGAGATGCTTGAATCCATCGTGCTACTGTCCTATATGGTAAAGCATTTGCTCCAAAGGCTTCCACTAATCCTCGATAGCATTCTGTTGCATTTTTGCCACGGGCAACCTCGATTGTAAGCCACGACCGCTGATCACCTTTAGAAAACATGCTTTAGAGCGATGGAAACGAAACTCCTCACTTTAACGCCACACAACAACTACCCTTCTAAGCTAATCGAATTTTTTTTGCACTCTACACGTCGACAACAGCCCCACCTCACAGCTCCCATATCTAATTTGCGCATGCCCGTCCTTCTGTGAGTTTAAAGGTTAAGTTGCCACTATTTAATTTGCAACCCTCGTATATAAGGTCTAAATCTTACAAAGATTCCGTGCTTAAAAACAATCTGTGGTTACATATCAAAAGGTCATTTTTTTCCTCTAAAGCACTGGTCGACCTAATTTGTATATAAGATCTAAATCTTACAAAGATTCCGTGCTTAAAAACAATCTGTGATTACATATCGAAAGGTTATTTTTTTTTCCTCTAAAGCACTGGTCGATAATAACGCATAAAGTTTTAGAAACGAACTACAAAATCGCAATAAATATTTGTTTACGTCATTAACGCATGCACAATGTGAGATGATGTCTGCGTTGGAACGGCTGCTCACGTTGAGCTTACAAAACAGTATTTTGTTGGCGTCAGGGTACGTCAACTTAGGCGCTTAGGAGGCACTTGGCTTAAGAAACCAGGCCTTTAGATCCACCGAGTACATGCGATATACGTGCTCATAAAACCTTTGGAATCGAGAAGTTCGGTGTTCGGTCCCTGGTAATACCAGGGGAACAGAGGTCTGAAGAAAAGTTTCTTCCTCTTCAGATCTATGCCTGAACTTGGAAGTAACCTCACGAATGAGCGATTCTACCATCAATCGGGGGTGGAATCTGAACTAGATCCCGCTTTCACCCTAGCGGTGTTCTCTTGTCAAACGAAAGGTGCCTCTTCCTGACTTAATGCGCAAGGCCATTGACTGGCTAGATTCTCCAAGTTTCATTCGAAACAACAAAATTATTCATTAGTTAATTGTTAAGATACAATAGTCATGACAGCAGTTGAAAAAACGAAATCAAATACTATGTCTAGTTTCTTAAACACATATTTTGAGACACGTCCATTTTTTTTTCTTTTTGAAAGTGCTATTAAAGCTGTATCTATTTTTGAAACGCACTTTTGTTCAAAATAAAAAGTTCGTTAGCACTGTTTGCTTTATATTTTCCAGTCGTTGTTTGAAAAAAATCATTGAAGTTTTTTTACACTTTAAACAAAGCTAAGCTTATTACATCCACGCATGTCAACATTGCAAGATTTATTGTTCAAATTTGGAAAGGAAGAGTATTTAATTCACCTGAATGTCTGTTTTAATTTCCTTAACAGCAAATGGATTAAAACATGTCTCTTTGGCAAATTGCTACCTCTTAAAGGAATCAAATTAAAATACTCAGCCAAAATTTCTAAACTGTTGCAGAAAATATAATGAAATAACATTAGAGATATTTAAACTACAAGCACTAAATAGGGATTTTTTTTCATTGATTTACAAGACGAATTAAAGCAATATTTCAAAAATTTGTTGCGTTTTTAATGCAAAAAGATATGTGTTCAAAAAAATGAATTTAACAAATTCGTGGAACTTCGAAAATACTGTAGGTAAACACGTCTAATAGAAAAGTTTTGGTACATTATTACAATTCAATTTCTTCATTTAACTATTCTTCGCAATTATTCGAGTCAAGAGTTTTCTATTCGATTAGGTAGTTTTATCACTTTTATTTAATTATTATAAATTCACTTTTCTTTTTTAGAGTAGTATACAAGGCCTTACTGGAAAAGTAAAATTCGACGAACAAGGCTTTAGATCTGAATTCGTTTTGGATCTCATTTATTTAACTAAAGATGGATTAGAAAAAGTAAGTTTTTTTTTACCAAAAAAAATAGACTTTATTATATAATTAAATATTGTCATTTTTCTAATACGCTAAATAATGGATAAAGCTCAAAACCATGAGAAAAAAAACATATATAAGACCNTTCAATGTGGACTATCCATCGAAGTAGGCGTTTCCAGATCGAAGTGGGCATTACTGTCAAGGTAGGCGTGTTCACATTACATTCGAAGGTCACCAATGTGGGGGCGGAGTAATCGGCCATGTCAACAGTCATCTATGAAAAGGTACCCCGACATAGAGTCGAGTTAACATGTCTTACATACTAGTGAATTGTAGTTTTGTAGTGGTAGATACGCTACATATATAAGACCATATAAACATACCATAGTTTGGGGTCAGCATTTGAGTTCGGCACTGCGTTTGAACTTCTGCAAACACCGTTTGAAAAAGGTGTGCATCAATGCTTAAACTCAAATAGTAAGAGGAAAACACAGAGGGGCAGAAGAGAATCATAAAAACAAGTTGCAAAATGGAAAAAAATGGGTATATCAATAATGGAGTGGAAACAAGCTTGAACGAGAAAATTAAGCAAAAAGAAAGGGCAAAAAAGTGTTACGAGAGAGGGTAAGAACTTATTAGAAATTAAATGAAAAATTTTCCTAACATTTAGATAGAATGGAATGCTAAAATGGGTAGAAAAATTTAACCTTACGTTTAGTGGAGAAGAAAACCACGAAATTTTGTCACAGCTGGATGATGAGGGGATTTAAACACGTGTTCCTACTACCACTGGGAATATTTTACGCTAACACTACAGTCAGTGCAAACTGAAAGCAGTATACGACATATAACAGCCACTGCCGAAATTCAAACATAGGTTGGAAGGTAATCGTGCCATCCGCTGTACCATCCTGACCTTTAAATAAGTTGATATTTTCAGCCACAAATGTAGTCCAAATTGATGATGTGCTCCAATAGACAATATATTTTGCAATTACATCTTTTTTCTAAAAATAATGTATTTTTTATTGTATAAAACTATACATTGAGTTTCCTAACACGATAGATAATGTATAAAGCTATACAATATGAAAAAAATTCAAAACAAGACCATATGAATATAGTTTCTTCTTCCATATAGTTTCTGTTTTCTAATGAAAAAATCAAAACATGAAATATAAGGAGTGCTTAAACACAGAATTTTAAAAAGAGGGAAGCACAGAGGTGCGGAAGAAAATCTCAAAAACAAGTTAAAACAATGAGAAACAAGTTGATTTATAAAAATTGGAAAAAGCTTGAACAAGGGGGATAAGAAACATGTGTGGGGGGAGGATGGAAGGTCAGATTTACATGGAAATTAGAAGAAAAAAGATAAAAATTTAACCCTGTGTTTCATTTAGAGGAAACTCGCGAAAACTTCTCATGGCTAGCTCGAATTTATCTCAACATTATCAGTCATTGCTAGGCTTCAAACCTGAGATAGAAAGCGATAGCACTGTGCCATCCGAACCTCATGCCAATGCGTTAGTATTTTCAGCCGTAATACCAATTAACAATGTTCTTAAATAGAGGATATATTTTGCAATTCCTTTTCGAAACACGTTGTTTAACGTCTGATCCAAGAAAAAAAATTTCCAAATGCCCACCTGGGGAATGACATTTCGCTATACAGGCATCCGAAGGACAGATTTGTTGGCCAATCTTCAAGGAAACCATATTAGAAGGGTCAACGTTGCTCCTACAGTAAGGACAGATAATATAGAGAAGGAAAGAGCACCCATGCCTTGCCCGTTATTCGAACCCAGAATCTTTCTGATACAAGGCCAGTTCCCTGATCTCTACACAGTCCAAGATGATCCAAGAGCATTAAAATAAAGATTAATTTAATCCTTTCCTTCTCGCTCCCGTGAAAATGACGGGGTGAGGTTTCGCCCTCTATTTCTCGCTCCCGTGATATTCCCGGGCTGGAGTGTTCAGTAGTAACGCGCCAATAAGAATAAAACCAATTCATTTCTTTTGCCCGGAAAACATTTTATTTCTCATTTTACACACCAGATGGCAGTACTAGGATATTTTTAAGATAATTGTAGATAGTTAATTTATTTAAACTAGATGTCAGCTCTAATCAAATGCGTGAATTTGTGATATGTGAAAAAATGCACTTTTATGAACGCTTTCTTGAAAATTAACCAATCGTTAAGGGGTTAAACATAGTTTGTTTTTACTGAATCTTACAGTATTACAAATCCCTTCCATATCCTCCAGAAACCTAACATCCAATAAATTGAATAACATTTGACCCAATTTAATCAACAATATTTTTTTTAAAAATATTCAGTTTGTATAATTTAGCAGAGCGGTTATCAGTAATATTGCATTAACCCTTTTTGTTTGGGGTTTTTAAGCACAATAAAAGATTGTAAGAAAGGTACAAAATTCGATTCAAAAAGCCTTTCAGGTGGGTTTTGGCATGTATGAATTTCGTTTCATATGGATTTATGCGTTTCATGAAGATCTTCATGAAAAAGATGCAGAAAATAAACTATGATACACCTAAAATATTCAAAAGTTTAATTGACTGGATTTTATTTAAAAATAAGTATTTTATGACATTGAGGAGTACTCCTTTTTCTAAATAAAAATCTCTGCCATTATTCAAAAATCGGGTCTCACTGGAGATAATTTTAATGGTGCAAGGTCTAGTGAGTAAGGAGGATCAACCAAGTCGCTGTCTCTCCCAACGAGGTCACTGTAGAGTATCCCTGACCACCCTCTCGACATGCGGTCTGCCGTTGTCATGCAAGAAGAGTACATTGTTCCGAATCACTAGTGCTGTCCTGTTGCTCACGTTCCAAATGCTGCAAGTACAGGCTGCAGTGACCGTTTGACCCATTGATAGCAGCTCATTGTGAATCCCTTGACAACTAGTACACCAGACACAAAGCGTAATCTTGCGTCGTTGCATACTGCTGTGCAATCTTTAAAACAACGTAAGTCCCGTAGTGGACTGATCGTTAAGACTCGGTTCCCAGCAGATCACCGAAGTCAAGCATCACTGGCTACGGTCAGTGTGCGGGTGGGTGACCACATGGATCAGTCTGCGTAGGGACCGAGGGTGTGCGGTATTGGTCCTCGTTAAACTGTGCTACCGTAAAGTGCTCGACTTCGCGTGCAGGTCGTTGGGTTACCGAAGCGGAGGCGCCATCCCCTCTGCAGAGGATCAAAATTGTGATGTCATGTCTTCGGATCATCCTCTGGGATGTTTCCCAGATCGTCGCCAATAGCCCTTTGTGCAATAGCATCAGTGCGACGTAAATTAACAACAACAACAAAACAACTTAAATGATTCTCGATTGATTCCGAGAAAAGTAGCAGGACGGCTATTTGTTTTCTATAGCCAATGTAATAAACGCTAAAATAGAATTTTAAAAAAACTGATGAAACAAAAATATTTTTGAAAAAAAAATTTTAATATGTAGTTTACCATACAAAAATGCCAAAAAGATTTCATTTTTTGGATTTTTTGTCTCTTACGTTGATTTTTCAATTGCATGGCAACATAAGTGATCTTAGGTGGTGAGAGAAAATATCCTGAAGTGAAAACCAATGTTTAGATAGGATCCTCTGTTCGTCACTGGTAAGTACTCGACTGAATATGGTTGCAATACGATGGCTGGAAAACTATGATATACAGGCTGTCATACGTTGCCTCTCGTGAACCAACGTGTGCCGAACCCAATTGCTACCTAAGTCTTACCTAAGCTCTGCAAATGAAGTTTAACTCTTTCATCAGAAATGTTAAACTGTGTTAAAAATTCATCTCGCGTTAGGCTACTGTCCTTTTAAATGGCCACCAGTAGAACTTCGCTATCCAAGGGCTGTTGTCACCCACTGTGAGGTTCATCACCGAGTGACAAATCTCCCGATCTGAATGTTTGAGACCATTACCTTGCGATACGTTCATTCACAGCACTATCCCCAAACGTTTGACTAAGTCAAACATCACTGGCTACGGTCAGTGTGCGGGTGGGTGACCACTTGGATCAGTCTGCGTGGTATTGGTCCTCGTTAAACTGTTCTACCGTAAAGTGCTCGACTTCGCTTGCAGGTCGTTGGGCTACCGAAGCGGGGGTGCCATCCCCTCTGCAGAGGATCAAAATTGTGATGGCATGTCTTCGGATCATCCTCAGGGATGTTTCCCAGACCGTCACCAATAGCCCATTGTGCAGCTCTAGTGCGACGTAAATGAACTACAACAACAAACGCTTGACGTATTCTGCGATTTGATGCAGCTGCTGATAAACCCACTTTGAAGTCGTCAAGCAAACAACATCGAACGAGCTCTTTCCGTTTGTCTTTGCCACTTTATGAGTTAAGATGGATAAAAATGCCCGGTAGATTTGCTTTTATGACGACTGATATTCCTGCTTTTGACCGAAGGAATTTTACACAACGTGAAAAATAATTTGCGTACCTGTTCTAACTTCATTCAATGGCAAAGCAAAAATGTTAAGAAATTTATTGGTTATTTTGTAAAAAAAAAACTAAAGTTAAAAAGTGACGACGATCGTATTTTCACTTTCGTTGTTTGTAATAAATGTAAAAGCATTTTACGAGTGTTCGAAAGTGAAAAACTCTTTTTATTCTCTAAAAAAGAAATTTAGGAAAATGAAACAATTTTTTACGATATTTTCGTTACAAATACTTCTACTTTTACTTTAAAAAAATGACGAAGTGTAAGTATAAACACTAAAATTCATAAGTGACGAAATGCGAGTAAAAGTGCGTTCTCTTACTTTCGTTGCTTGTAACGAATAAAAAAGAATTTTACGTGTGATCAAAAGTGAGAGAGAAAACCTCTTATTATTCTCTAAAAAAGAAATTTATGAAAAAGAAACGATTTCTTAAGATATTTTTGTTGGAAGTACCTCTACTTTTTACCTTACAAAACAAACAAAAGTATAAGGAAGAAAGTAACTAAAATTCAAAATTAACGGCATAAAAGTTAAAGTTCGTATTTTTATTTTCGTTGCTTGTAACGAATGTAGAAGCATTTTACGTATGGTCAGAAGTGAAAACAACTTATTAGTCTCGAAAAAAAATTATGAAAATGAAACGTGAAAATTAAAATTAAATTTCTTACGATATTTTCGGTACAAATATTTCGACTTTCATCTTAAAAAGCTAATGAAAATATAAGTAAAAAAACTGAAATTTAAAAGCGATAAAGTGCAAGCCAAAGTTCGTACTTTTACTTTCGTTGTTTGTAACGATTGTAAAAATATTTTACGTATGTTCGAAAGTAAAAATTACTCATTATTCCTTAGCATACTACTGTGACTGAAATGAACATAAAGCATACAAAAAAGCATACAAAAAATATTTTTTGAACAGTTTTTACGAATTAAATATTGTGAAAATGAAGACAGTTTGAAAAATTCCATATTAGAGTTTATTGATTTGAAAATAAAAAAAAATTTTCTTTAAGACGTACCACTATTTTTTTTTTAAATTTCGTTGAAAAGGCTTTTTATTGAAAAACTGTTTGTCTTTTGAAAAAAGATATGCAGTTTGATATTTTCACTTGAAACTCCGTTTGCGCTAAACTAATAAAATACTGTTTTTCTAAATTTCAGATTGGAGTGTGGGCGCCTGGCAAAGGTATAAATATTACTAAAAATATGTCCAATGGATACGACACCCTTTTACTGCAAAACAAAACGCTCATTGTAACAACCTATGTGGTAAGCATATTATAATTTATACTTCTTTATGAATAATTAAACTAAATGGCCCATTTTTTTTTTAAATTTAAAATTCGGATATATCTTAAAGAGAGTAAGCAGCATTTACTAAATTCTTTTGATATTTACGCTAAATGCACTATGTACTTAGGTAATATACACTAGTAAGAAGAAAAAAGAGCTATACCCCACTTTTAGGGTTGATAACCTATCTTACTTTAGTGCTATGGGATGAGCGCTTCACTCCCCTGCGGATCGATGACCTCTCGTCTTCAGGATGAGCGCTGCACCCAAATTCCTTAGTATTGATGAGAGTTCAACCCCAATGATAGCTCTTAGTAGGGATGAAGTAGCATGGCTCTTTATGTAGCATGGTTTGGACTAAACAAACGCTCCTTAAAAATTTTGTGTATTTATTTCTTCGTAACTATGGGTAATTTTAAAAAAATTGACACTTATTTTTTTTTGTCAGAAGCAAGTTTTAAATGAATTTTTTATTGCAAAAGATTATAAAAAATTCGCAAAGTGCCCTCCATTATGTTATCGATAAATATGCTCCTACCGTGAGTAAACAGATCCATCTTAAAAATTTTGAGAGTTCATTTCTTGAAACATATTGGTATTTTTGAAAAAAAGAGACGCTCACTTTGAAATCTGAAACAAGTTTAAACTTAGGAAGCAATTTTTAGTCCAAACCCTGTGACATTAAGAGCATATATATGGTTAACATAATGGAGGACACTTTGTGATTTTTTTTCATAATTATTTGCAATGAGAAATTTATATGAAACTTGTTTCAGATTAAAAAGTTGTCGTCAAATTTTTCTAATATACCCAAAGTTGTGAAGAAATAAATACCCAAAGTTTAAAGAAGCATTTGTTAATTCCTAACCATACTACATAAAGAGCCATGCTACGTCGTCCCTACTAAGAGCTTATCAGTGCTTGAACTTTTATCCATACTAAGGAAGTGAGGTGTATTTATATCAGGTTTTTATAAAATGTAATAAGAATTAAATAATTGAATAAATTTAATTAAAATTCGATTTAGAAAGATTTTTAAAAAATTTAAGAAATTTTGAAAGCTAAGAAACATGTAATGCCTATTGTGGCATCAAAGGCCGATTTTTTTTCTTTTTTTTTCTCTCTCAAGGCGTTTGAAAGTTTTTGATGACAACTGTTGAAATTCGAGGACTGTTCCCAAGATTTGAGTACGTTTGGCCACCTTAAACTGATCTATTTCCGGCATTTGTTAACGATATTATCGAGTAACCATGCTATTTAAATATGCTCTTATTTCTGATTTGTTAGTATCTAGATACTATTTTTTTAAGACAAGTTGTTTTTCATTGACTCAGTTAACACCGTAAATGTCCCAAATTAGTTTTTTTTATTTCAAAAAATATTTTATATAATCCTTTTTCGCAATGATTTGTATTAATTGCTGTCACTAGATAGAATTATAAACTTTTTATGCGAAACCTAAGATTTAGAGCTTAAAGTTTAGATTTCTGTTCCACCTTTTGAAAAGTGCATATTTCTAAGTCAGCAGTTAGATGACATAACTGAATCTTACATAATTGAATTATAAAATAAAAAAACACTGAGATCTGCTCTTAAAATATCTTGAAATTACATCCAGGTTTAAAACGCTAAAACATTTTTTTTGAACAATTCAAATTAATTTTGTGGTAGCTAAAAACTTTTAAACTTGCTTTTAATAATATTTAAACAGTACAAAAATATTTAGTCGTCAAAGTATTGTAAAGTCAACGATATCCCTACAGCTCCAAACATGTTTGAATTCGTGCCGCTATTTGTAATCCAATTTCTAAATGTGACTAGGGTGCATAAAAAATAAAACTAAATAGAAACACCTTTATTTTTATGTCCAATTTAACTCATGTTATATCAAAACCACTTATATGTACTGAAAGTTTAAGTAGAAACTGGAATTACAATCATTCTTCGATAATGTAACGATATTTTTTCGAGACAAAAATTTATTTTTAATTAATAACAAATGCATAAAATTAAAATGCTTTTAAAATTTTCACTTTACCAAAAAGAAAAGATAACACCCTTTAAAATCTGTTTAAATCATATCTGCAGTTAGATTTATTAAAAATATCACATTGATTGAGAAATTTGGTTTTGAGAAAAACGTATTTAAGTTTAAAAGTCAGTAATTTAGATTTTGAGTACTTATAGGCATTTCTAGGCTAAGTATTCAGTAATAAGTATGTTCTCTGAAAATTACATCTCGAAAAGTGCTACTATCAATTAATCTCTTCATGAACTGCTTTCTAATTATTCGTAAAATATACGTGAATTATAGAAAATTAAATTAATAAAAATTTTCAGCATTGTTAATTGCTGGGTTTGTATATTACTAAGCATCATACAAAAAACTGTCTATTCCCAAATTACCTTTTTTATCGTCTCAGAGCGCGCGATGCGCTATTCACATCACTGATTGAAAACTGAGGGTCGTGGTTCAATCCTGGACGTTGACTAAACTTGTGGCATGTATTAGGTGTGCATTAAGTGTATCTTGGCAAAAGCCCTTCCGCAAGTGTGATGTACAAGCTTTGAGATGGGGTTTGCCGAATCGCCTATCAAATCTCATGAAGTCTAACCACGGAGGTGAAAAAAATGACGCATTCATAAAATGGTTAAGTTATTGGCTACAGCCGGGAGTTTTCTAATATTTTTCTAGAACATACGTGTTCGACATACGAGGAATGTTGGAACATATGAACAATTGAATGAATGAACGTACGAGAAATGTTTAAAGAGATTTTTTTAATCAGTTTCAAAATTGCATTTTTCTGTTCCGACATACATTTAGAACGACGTAATAAAACATATTTTAATTATCAGAATTTTTTTCTGAATTGTTGCATTTAATAAATCCTTGTTCATCTCTGGGAGAATCCTTTTCGAATATCTGCCATTTCAAGATTTATTATGAATTCTTCTCGAATCCAAAAGATGGCATAGCTCCTTTTGTAATTCTTTTTGGTGAAATTTTCTTACTCCATTAAAGCTAGACTACGTCTCTGGAATGTTGCTCATGAATGTTATTCATAGTATTTACATTTATATAGCCTAAATGGGCCCTATTTAAAACTGACTGACTCTTATTTATGGTCTTATTTATGACCAATATTTCATGCCCGTTAATCAGCCCACATTTATAGAATATACAAATTTGTACAATTCAGTTTATATTTTAAATCCCTAATTGCCTGGGAACAACCTATCTAGATCATTTAGACCAAACCCTAGACATTCCAAACTTGGCTCCTTTGATCTACATTAATTTCCCAGTTCAGCTTTACTGTTCAACCAAGGTATGATCAAATATATTTGTGTGCCCAAGCTTATCTAGATCCGTTGAAACAAAACCTGGCCATCCCAAGTTTGGTCTCTCAATGTACGTATTTATAGAATCTTAATTAAGCCATACTGGGCCCCAAGATAAAATTATAAAATTATTGCGAGGGTTATTATAAATTTAGTGTTTGGATATAATAAATTTTGTCCATATGCCTATATGTACATGGATATGAATATAAAAACTGTATGGGTAGCAGCGTAAATGGCAATGTGTATCTTCAATGAGGGATTTACATCACTTTTGAAGATCATAAACATTTTAGGAATCCCTGTTGGAAATATTGCTAAAATATTTACTGGCTCAATGGACAATCAACTCATTGAAGCTGCAAATAGTTGGTCATCAAATTCACCGAAAGAAGCCAGAACTACCCAGAGAATACAAAGTTTGGCTGAAAATCAATTTCAAGAGGAAGAGAAGGGTTTATTATATGGTGCTTGTATAACAGATTAGGTGTAAGTACTGGAAATATTAATTATATATTAAAAGCTGTTTTTGAAACTTTAAACGCGTTTTTCTCAAAACTATTATAAGAGAACTCCACAACTCACGTTAATCTTTTTAAAGTGGTATGACGAACTATGGTGAAAATAAATGGTAGTTTTTATTCGCTCATTGAACAGCTTCTGAACTTGGATTTCAAAATCATGAATGAAACGGAGCTTTTACTTAGAAACTGAAAAGTTATAGTTTTTTGCAACATCTTATAATTTTTTAACAACCCGCCTTGTATTATTATACTCCAATGAAATAAAAAAATTATTTTTTAAATTTTTTACTCATGGTGTTAATCTAAAAGAGTTTATTTTAAACTAGGTTAAATTATTAAGAAGAAATTGAAAACGATTCCAAATTCTTATAGATTCAGTAGAAAAAATATCACGCCTCTGATCAAACAAAGGGTAAATTATCGAGTTCTGACAAAAAGTAAATAGTTTAGAAATTTTTAGAATACAAGGTCAGTATAAAAATTTTCTCGAAAACATGTAATTTTTCTTAGCACAATGTACTTTTGAATTGTTATATAAAAATTAAAAACTTTAGCTACGAATTTTTTGCATGAGTTTTTGAAAAAAAATTTATTTTTTTGACACACTTGTACTTGTTTGCTGAAGGTAACTTAGATACTCGACTCTTTCACGACCTTCAAATTATCTGTACTAGTTAAATAAAATATTTCCTCGATTCTAAACCTGTTATCTAAAAGCATAACCTGTACTCTCTATTTTTGAAACAGTACTTCTTCTACGAAGGACTAAATAATTATACGTCACTACAATAGCGAAGTGAACTTCTTCCTATACTAGATGGAATTCTTATCATTTTTACACCCTTTCTAAACGTTCGGGCTTTATTTAAAATAAAATATTTCCTAAACTACTCTAGTTCCAGAAATTTTGGAAAATCAACCTAGTTTAGATTTGTTTTAGTGCAAACTGAAAGCAAAAAAAGAATTAACAAGACATTTGGAAAAATCGAACTTTAAATATCAATTTCATCAATAAAGTGAGTAAGATCCACGCGCACACAGAGGGAGCGGGTGGGAAGCAAGAGACTTACGGGAGGCAAACGGTTATATATTAGCATACACATGCGCAGAGATGACGTGCGCGTGTCAATGCAAGGGTAGGGAATTTCACTTCCCGTATGCCTCGTATTTTCCGCTCGCTCTCTTAAATGTGCGATGAACAGTGTATTATGCATCCTTCCTGATATAAATCCATTCCCTGTTTTATTACCAGGCTTGGACAGCCTACCTCATTCTGAGTTTACGACTATCAACTCCGACTTACGACTGGCAATCCGTAGCCTAGTAATTTTGAATACAATCCAGAAGACAAGAGAACTCCTGGGTCAAGCACTTGGAGAAACTAGCCTTCGTGGAGGAATTTTTGATGGGACTAACCCGTATTTACACTACACTGAAAGGAAAACAACAACAAAAAACACGGTTAGCCTGACTGAAAGGGGACTCTAACCCATAATCTGTCGACCACTGGGGATATTTTACGTCAGCACTGTGGTCGGTGTAAGCCGAGAGCAGAATTCGTTACGATCAGCGAACGTTGGGATTCGAATCTGGGTATAGGGAAATGAGCTCTCTATCCCCTAGGCCCCGCAGCTTTCTAATAACTACATAGCACAATATAATATCCCATTAAAATCCCCCACGAAAAAAAATAAGGCGTAGGGGAGAGTGGGGTCAATTGTAACAGGGTAGGATTGTAACAGAGCAAAAATTTCGAGTGTCGGGTTCTAGAATTGGTTCCTAGGTGGCGCGCATGGTGTATTAAATAAATCTACATGTACAGCCCTGCTAACAACCATTTTTATGTACTTTTGAAAGAGTTACATCACAAAAGATATTTTCACGCCACGCAAGTACTTTTTTTGGTATTAGAATATTATATTGTAACAAAGTAATTTTNACTGTACATCCCTTCTAACAACCATTTTTATGTACTTTTGAAAGAGTTACATCACAAAAGATATTTTCACGCCACGCAAGTACTTTTTTTGGTATTAGAATATTATATTGTAACAAAGTAATTTTGTTTAAACAAATAAAAATTATTAATCGAACATGTAAGTAGACACCTTAATTAGCATTTCTATAAAAAAAAGTTTTGTTAATTAACTAGCATTGTTTTTAACAAATGAAGCTGAAATGGCGTCTTTGTAACAATAAGTAAAGGGACGATTGTAACAGCTGAATATAAATAATCTTATGTTCACAAACCATTACTTAACTCTTCAAGAACCACCAATAGTTTCCTATATCATTTATTTTATGTTGCATGTGCATTATTTTATTTGTCACTTTTCACAGCATAAATTAAAATTTTTAACCCCTTAAAGTTAAAAGTTTAACCCTTTAGGTCTCTGCTCATTATTATTTTTACTCCTAAAATATCACTACTATTTTGATCAATAAAAAAATATATCACAACTATGATAATATGTATAATTAACTATGTTTTAGTTGAATTTATGAACTGTTACAATTGACCCCGTAAGTGGGGACAATTGTAACAAGTGCACGACTGTCAAAAATTGTTAATAACTAATATAATAACATTTAAAATAAGGTATTTATTTTTTTTTCTAGTAGAGGATAGTCTACTTTACTCGTCTGTCAATTAATACTAATAATATATTGGATTTTTTGTTAGTTAAAAATAGTTAAGTAAAAAATGTTACAATTGACCCCAATCTCCCCTACTCCATAAATCCGCTAAAAGCCTCCATCTCCCCTCTAAGCATCCATCTTTCATATTGTAATCGATTTCTATTTGCAAACCAAAACTCTCCTTCTTAATACTGAAAAAGGTTCCTTACACTCGACCAAACTCTTATTTTCAATTACTTTCATGGCATATGGACCTTCTTATTTCAATAAGCCACACGAAGACTTAGAACTTGTTTAGTAGACTAATGCATGGAATGATTCCTACAATGCTGTATATCATATTTCTTCAGTAAAGAGAACTATTCACAATCTGACATTTGAAAAAGTTGAATAAATCAGTTTCTTATGTTCTTTATTTATGTTCTATCTTTCTTTCTAGAACTCCCCTTATGCTATGCTAAAAGACTCAGCTGAAAAACTTACAGGCAACGCACGATATGAAGGTTTCTGCATTGATCTCATTGATCATTTAGCCAAACATTTAGGTTTTAAATATATTATTAAAGAAGTGGCAGACAGAAAATATGGCATCAAAAATGAGAATGGAGAGTGGAATGGCATGATTGGTGAACTTATTAGAGGAGTAAGTTTATTTCTCTCAATTGATTGGTTAGAAATATCATCAAAGAAATACAAGAAATCAAATTAAAATTTGGTATGAGTTTTTACCATAGTTATAGAATGAGACAAAACAAAACACTATTAATAATTCCCGAAATATTTTTTATTAACAGGTATGTTATGGATTTTAGCGTGTATTTTTCAATTTATAAAACAGAGGAAAATGTCTTAATTGGGTTGGCAACTAAGTTCCTGCCGTTTTTTTTTATTTCTTTATTATATTTTATTTCATTTTATTTTTTCCCTTTTTAGCAGTCCTGGGGTCACTAAGTGTTTTTTGGCATATTAGATCATTCAAAAAAAAAAATCATGTTTTGAAAAAATCCAATTCTATCTTTTGTTTCTTGTTCGAGTTAATTTTTGCTAAAAATCATTATAATGGGGTATCAAGTTGAGAAAAGTTTGCATTTTTGACACCTTCTTCTTTTTGCTTTTAATAAATAATTAAAGGCAGCAAAGCTGCTCGTGAAATTTGTGCTGTGAATGAAGTGAAAGACAGAGCTAAAAGAAATGCCAGTGATTGGTATGCCAAGTTTACACAGCGAAGTTTTGATTTCAAATACGCGATTCATTCTGGCTAGCCCAGGTGAGTTCGATAAACGAAATCTTGAAAATCTTGTTGAACGTTGGGAAGAAGTTGTACTGTATATACATTTAATGTATATACATTCGTTATTAATTAGTTGGTAGTCTTAATTGAAAAAGCAATGATATGAATATTGAAAATTTTATGGTGGGAACTTAATTGCCTCCCAGTATTAAAAATCAAATTAAATTTTAGCATGAGTTTTACTATACTTAAAGAATGATGCAAAAAAATAAGAAAAAGAATAATATTTTATGATAACAGAACTTTTGTGCATTTCATAATGCATTTTTAATTTTATTAGCAAGAGAAAAAAAAGTTATAATTGTATAATAACTTGCTATCAAAAATCCTTAAATTAAATCTAAAAAACAATCAACTTTAGTACTGTAAAGCAGGAATCATTTTTAACTCACTTAATTTTCGATTCAAATTTCCTTTAGAAAAAAAATTTTAATAATTGACCTTCTTTATTTGTGTTAGTAACCGGAATTTTTTAAATTACGAGAAATATCATTAGAGTAAAACCCAAAAGAATATGACAAAATTTAGAGTTGTTTACGTGGTGGACCCCGTTTCAATTCTGAAAAAAAAATATATTGTCCGTCTATTCTATTTCATAATTTTCTTTTCACTGCTATGAGTAATGATATTTCTCAGAATAATAAAAATTTGCTAACTATACTCTGTTACAAGTTAATAAAAAACCATTATCCCTTTGGAGAGATAGCAAAAGATGAAACTTTTGGATAACCTCTTATCGTTTTGAGCTCCTTTTAAAAAAAAAAAAATTGTGCTAATACAACTGAGAAAGTTGCTTGAAACCTTTTAAATTTTTAAGACATTCAAATGAAGCTTTCATCATTAGTTATCAAATACGATTCCCTCATAATTATGAAAAAACATTTTAAATATTCTCTGCGCATGCGCAGTATAAAAAAACTAGCTTAAATGCTCATATCTTGCGCAGGTTTTAACGATTTTTTTTTTAATTTTAAATCAACAATTTTGTAATTAATTTTAAATTTTTCCTTAAATTCTGTTAATTCCACTGAATATTTATGAAGTTATAGCAAAATAGCGGTGTATAAATCAATGTTTCAAACCCCCAAAATTTCACGAAAAACAGAGTATCGACTTAAGATCGGATATCGATGAAATATCGATATATTACAAACAATGAGGTATGAATAACTCTGTATCAAATACCTATACAGATTACCCCTTTCAAAAACTATTTTAAATATGTTATTTGCTTTTAATCTTGCTCTGTGTTTTCTCTTATCATATTTTCGTTACATGCAAAGCTTTCTTTAGAAAAATAAAATAAGTTAAGATAAATTGTTTTAATAATATTTAAAAAAATTCAACACAATGAAATCTTTTAAAACATACCATAAAGTTACAAATTTAAAGATCCCAGAATATCATCTGTGTTGGATTCTTTAACGTTACCTGGGTTGTCACACGGATCCCACTTAACAATGGGTTATACTTCCTCTTCATTTGCAGAATCCTTCAAAAAATTTACCTCAGCCCCTCAGTTTTCAAAATTTCGCATTTTTTATAATATTATGCAATAACATTTGAATCTACATTTCGCAACTCGTCTGGTATCATTTGGCGCATGACTTCTATAGGAATAATAATCGACTTACCGACAGTAGTCAACTTATACATCCGACATGCCAGAAATTTGCCATCTCGTAATCAAAAATAGGAAGTCGACTTTTACACCGAGGTATACGGTAAGTAAAGCGACATGTTAAATTTTAGTATAAATTGGCTCATTTTTGAAGCTAATTGGCAAAACACTGTTTTGAGAAAACGTCATTTAAAAGCTTATGAAAACTTATTAGAACTTCAAGCATTTTACACTATTAGAAGCATGAATTAAAATAATGATATGCTTATTATGAATGGTAATAATTGCATTAACATGTAAAAATCTATAAAATTGTCAAATTTGATGAAAAAATTAATTGCGAAAAATAAGTGACTAAGCTTACAAAACATATTGGAACTATTTGAGCTACATTCATTTTACTTTATACTTCCAACATCCATACATAGATATGCGTATTGTACAAAGTAATAATTACACAAACATGTACAAAACTATAAAAGGGCCAAATTTGATGCCGAAATCAATTACGAAAAATAAGTGACTAAGCTTGCCAAAACTTGTTAGAACTATTTGCATGTCATAAATTATAATTATGACATCTGTGCTTAGACATGAGTATTATGGAAAGTAGTAATTGCATTAACATGTAAAAAACTACAAAAGTGCCACATTTGGTGACAAAATTAATTGCGACAAGCAAGTGAATCAACGACAGAATTTTTTTTATTTCCATAAATTTGAAATTAATCTTTATTTTTCAGGATGCTGATATTGCAATTGTAGATCTCACAATCACATCTTCCCGAGAAGAAGCGGTAGATTTCACAATGCCTTTCATGAATACTGGCATCAGTATACTTTTCAAAAAACCTACAACCAAAGTGACAACTTTATTTTCTTTTCTATCCCCTTTCTCAATGGAAGTTTGGATTTATGTTATGGGAGCCCACATTGGAGTAAGCATAACGCTATTCTTAGTGGGACGATTAAGCCCATATGAGTGGGATAATCCACATCCCTGCCGACAGGATGAACAAGTTCTTGAGAACAGTTTTAGTTTAATGAATAGCTTATGGTTTACAATAGGATCTCTTATGCAACAAGGATCTGATCTGGCTCCTAGGTCTGTATAAAATCTTAATTAAATAAAATTATTCCTATTTTATTTAAGACATATAGTACACAAAAAGAATCAACACCCTGAAAAACTTTTGATGTACAGACCGCATTATTACGTAGGAGTTAGGAGTCAATCTTAATGATTCGAAGGCCTAATCTTAAATATGCTCATTATACAGTTCACCATGCATGCTCATTATACATTTATACAGAAAAGAGAACCAACACCTTGAAGAACTTTTGATCTACAAACTACATTATTACGTAGTAGGAGTCTATCTCAATGATTCGAAGGCCTAATCTTGAATGTGCTCATTATACATCTTATTATGCATGCTCATTGTACATTTATACAGACAAAAATTTAATTGCGAAAAACTTTATGTATACTTTTGTTAAATAAAATACATTTTAAGGGCTATGGGCTCTTCATCTTTAAAATATAGGGGTTGCCACAATCTGGAAAACAGTTCTATTAGTTTAATGGTGTTTTTCGAAGCTCTGTGGCCAAGGAAAATAAAAAAACAACAGTTTGAATACCGTAAACTTGAAGCAATGCGTTGATTTTAAACTCTATATATAATATTACCAAAAAAAACTACCTGGGCTTTAAAACAGAGAAATAACTTAAATATTTTTAAAAATATTAAACTTTTTTAAAAATCGCCAATTTGGCGACATTTTTCCACCCAGATGAAAAGTATCGAACTCCTGCCTTATTTTCAGATTTTGCATACGGTCTGGGAAACTCAGGAATGTCTCCCAGACCATCGCCAATGACCCATTGTGCAGCTTTTGTGCGACGTAAAGTACCTACCTACCAGTTATTAAAGTTTTTTTTTATCACATCCTCTTCTCGTTAGTGGTTATAAAAATGGCAACACATAAAAAAAAGTGCAGCATCACAATTTCTGTTTTACTCCGTTTTATGTTTTTTACTGTCAGGGCTTGATTTCTATCAAAAAAAGTGGGTGTTGTCATTTCAAAATTTTGACATTTGAAACTGTAACCGTGAGAACTACGCCATCGTTTTTAAGGTCATTTTTGAGCGAATGGATTATAAGCACAAAATTCTATTTTGCTCTCTGAAATGGTATACTCTTCTGAGGGTCGGAGAGCGGGGGTAATTATTTACCCTTTTTTATACATTACCCTTTTTTCATATATAGCAAAATATGTAATGCGCGAAAAGAAAATAAATAAAGAAATTAACATAGCATCCTGAATAACGAAGCATTAATTCAATCTGCCTAAAAAGTTCTCGGGATAGGGTGAAATACGCAAAAAGTTGGAATAGCAATAAGGGGCTCAAACTTTCAACCGCGCTCCTAACGAAACAATTGCAACCTATTTCCGGGATTGCGACTACCCTCCCCCCCCCCATATTTTGAGGGTCAGAAATCCAAATCCGTAAAAAAAAGGTATATTTATTCAGTACGGTTTTGTGCTTAATTTTGTAATTTAAAATATCGTCCATATTTGTGTTCACACTCGCGAACAATTAAGATAGATAGTACGTGAAATTCCAATTATTAAATCAAACTTTATTCAGGCTATCTCGTTTTTTTTTCCTTCTTTTTTTGTTAGTACTGTAGTACAATTAAAATTACATGTTTCAAAAAAAAAAAAAACTTTTTTTTTTTGGAAGAAAAGGAAGAGATTTCTCTTTAAAAAAATATGTTTTTAAATAAACTCATTTGAAATATTTATCTTTTTATATTTATGTATACAAAGTGAAATAACTAAATGCTTATATTGAAAACTGAAATATTTTTAGGGCAATGTCAACGAGAACCATTGCAGGAATTTGGTATTTTTTCACATTAATAATGATTTCATCCTATACAGCCAACTTGGCAGCCTTTTTAACAGTAGAAAAAGTTATCTATCCTGTAGAAAGTGCAGAAGATTTAGCAAAGCAAACCAAAATTAAATATGGTTGCTTAGGAAGCGGCTCAACAAAAGCATTTTTCAAGGTAAACATTGTTTTCATATTTTATTTCAATTTAGTTTACCGAATCATGATACTCTAATTTTCCTAAAAGACTGTTTTTCGAAGGCGTCTTATAAAATTAAGTTTTTTCAATCGAATAATATGAAATTTTTATAACAATTACTGGCATTTTAAAAGTAAAAAAGGTTTACCAAATCAGTTTACCGAATCATGATACTCTAATTTTCCTAAAAGACTGTTTTTCGAAGGCGTCTTATAAAATTAAGTTTTTTCAATCGAATAATATGAAATTTTTATAACAATTACTGGCGTTTTAAAAGTAAAAAAGGTTTACCAAATTAGTTAACCGAATCATGATACTCTAATTTTCCTAAAAGACTGTTTTTCGAAGGCGTCTTATAAAATTAAGTTTTTTTAATCGAATAATAGGAAATTTTTATAACAATTACTGGCATTTTAAAAGTACAAAAGGTTTACCAAATTGGTTTACCGAATGATGATACTTTAATTTTCCTAAAAGACAGTTTTTCGAAGGCGTCTTATAAAATTAAGTTTTTTTAATCGAATAATATGACATTTTTATAACAATTACTGGCATTTTAAAAGTAAAAAAGGTTTACCAAATTAGTTTACCGAATCATGATGCTCTAATTTTCCTAAAAGACTGTTTTTCGAAGGCGTCTTATAAAATGAAGTTTTTTCAATCGAATAATATGAAATTTTTATAACAATTACTGGCATTTTAAAAGTAAAAAAGGTTTACCAAATTAGTTTACCGAATCATGATACTCTAATTTTCCTAAAAGACTGTTTCTCGAAGGCGTCTTATAAAATTAAGTTTTTTCAATCGAATAATATGAAATTTTTATAACAATTACTGGCATTTTAAAAGTAAAAAAGGTTTACCAAATTAGTTTACCAAATCATGATACTCTAATTTTGCTAAAATACTGTTTTTCGAAGGCGTCTTATAAAATTAAGTTTTTTCAATCGAATAATATGAAATTTTTATAACAATTGTTAAAGTTTTAAACAATTGTTAACATTTTAAAAGTAAAAAAGGATTGAAAATCGGTTTTAAAATATATAAATACTTATCGTTCCGGTTATATAATTCTATCTGTCCTCATAAGAATGAGCAAAAATTTAGAGCTATTCATTAATTTTCATGATTTTCTACGTAAAAATAAATCATGACGAATCGGTGATTTTTGTTTTTATTTATTTATTATTTGAAACATTTGTAGTGGTTAAAGTTAAGCAAATTCTTTTCGTCAATTCCTGTTCCGGACTGACCACCATTATTTTATATTTTTGAATCCTTCTCAAAAGTAAAATAAAAAAAAGAATGCGCTTTAGGAATCATAAAATAATATTTACGGAATAAGGAAACAAAAAAATTTTTTATCGAAATCTAATACGGGAACTGAAATAGGGGACTGAAAATATTAATACATTCGTGATTTAAAAAAAATATAAAGAAGTTGAAATGTGATTTTCAGAAACACCTTCGAGTTTTTTATTCAATCAAACAGGTCTCAGAACAAGAAAGAAAATTCGTAAGATTTCAATATCGTTTTTGTTTTATCCTCACTTCGAACTTGTGACCCCTAATGTAGTATAATCTTTTTGACTTCATATATGACAGTGATTTTCAAAATATATACTGAGTGCTGGCCAAAAATAAGCTCAAACAAAAAATTTTAATATATAACTTTATTAAATAATAATTAAATTAACAAAATATAACAAATAATAATAAGCGTAGACTTTTACTAACAAATAAATTTAATTGGTTTTAAAGTGGCCGCCTTTTGCAGCGATGCAAACGTTTATTGAATTATTCAACTATGTTCTGAATTTTTGTGTGGTTTAGTGCAAACCATAGATTCTGAAATGGGCCATACACTGTAATCCATGGGATTGAGATCTAGCGAGTAGGATGGAAATTCTTCAGATGATATCATATCCGGAAAATGTACCTTGCACCACTCTTACGTCTTTTTGGCCTTGCGAGCTAGTGCAGGGTCTTGTTGAACTGTCCAATTTACATTGCCAAAGTGCTTTTTGGCCCTCAGAAGAACAACTATTAGAAAGTTCCGCTGGTACACTTTTCGATTTATTTTAACGCCTTCATCCTCAAAAACCAGTGGCGTTTTGCCACTTGCGCTAATTCCGCATCAGACCATGACAGACTTCTGATTTTTAATGATGTTCACCAACTGCCAAATAGCTTGAAGCGTTTACAGACCAGATCTAATCATTTTGGAAGTTATGAGCTTGTCGAACGGCAAAGAACTTCTCGTCAGTGATGCGGAATCTCTCCCAGCACTGACTTGTGGCCTACTGCTAAAAATTTCAATAAACATTTGCCTCTCCGCATCGCTTTAATTGAAGGCCACTATGAAACCAATTAAGTTTAATTATTAGTAAATCATTACTTTTAAAAAAGTTATATTAACACTTTTTTTCATGGCTTTTTTGCTACACTCTGTATTTAGAGAGGTAACAACGTAACGTATTGTAAAATTACATCATGTTCTCAAAATGTTATTTTAACAAAAGAAGTCAGGAAATTATTGAACAATGTTATACAAGGAAAAATTATGTTCCATATCTTCGCAAAATTAGTTATTGTGTGATATAGATGATGCATAATTCTATACTTCATTTTAACTATTCCCGAGTCAAAATTCTTAATGGTCCCATCGAAACATTTTGATGGTTCATGATGGTTTCAGTGCGATTCAAGATGGACCAACATCATTTGATGATCACCATCATCCAAAATTTTCTATTATGCGTTCATAGTTATTGATATGCATGCAAACTTCCATTATTCCATGGTGAAAAATTCTATTTTAATACTATGATTGTTAACCATCAAGAGTAGTTTGATTGTAATAGACTAACAATCTGTGATGTTCCATAATGGTTCCAACTATACATTTCCATGATGGTTTAATAGGAATTCTTGTTTGTTCTCATGAATATACCGTCAAAATAATTTTTTTTTATGTTGAACCATCTTAAATCTGTCCGAATTCCTACATTGGAATGATGGTTGTTAATGATCGTTTCAACATTTGATTTCTAAGATACTATGATGGAAATTTCTGATGGTTCATTATGAACAAACCATCAAAACAAGTTGCTATTCTTATGTTGGACCATCATAAATCTGTCCAAATTCCTACATTGGAATGATGGTTGTTAGTGATCGTTTCAACATTTGATTTCTAAGATACTATGATGGAAATTTCTGATGGTTCATTATGAACAAACCATCAAAACAAGCTGCTATTCTTAAGTTGGACAATCATAAATCAGTCCGAATTCCTACTTTGGAATGGCGGTTAGGTTACCATCAAAAATATAATGATTCATGATAGAATTAATGATGGTTACTATCAAGATTGTGTTGGTCCATCGATGGAAAACCATGTAAAATTTTGACTCGGGTTTCCACTGTCGAAGTTAGAAAATGTAATATTGCTCTACTTAATTATATTTATTTGTTTAAATTATAAATAAAAATAGTTTTATAGATGGATAACTAGAAACAATTATTTTCATTAGATGCTTCACTTCTCTCAGTTTTAAAATTATTCAATCTTAATATTTCGAAATCATTTTGTTTCATGATATTGTGTGGGAGATAATTTAAGATAGGATTATGTCTAGGAAAAAAAGGAAAAGGAAAAGAGAAAAAACGAGGGGGATTGTTCTTTTTTTTGTTTTCTTGCCCCCCCCCCCTAATTTTAAGTTGTTATTCTTGCTAAATCAGCTGTTTAAAGAATTTAAAGTACGATGGTTTAATTTGAAATAATATATAATTTTACAGTATAAACCATTTCACCGTGGTTATAAGAATACTGATAATAACAAAATCATTACTTTTTTTCCTTCAGACAAAACGATTTCTTTATTATCAAACATTTTATTTAAGATGCATATATTTTGTTTTTCAATAGGAGTCAAAGATTCCTACTTATCAAAAAATGTGGAATTTTATGAACAAACATCAAGAAGTGTTCATGTTAAACAACGAAAAAGGAGTCCAACGTGTCATGCAAGGCGATTATGCATATCTTATGGAATCAGCATCTATTGAATACATTACCGAGAGAAACTGTAATCTTACTCAAATTGGAGGCTTACTAGACTCGAAAGGCTATGGCATAGCCACGAGGAAAGGTAAATTTACTATGAACTACTACTAAGATTTTCATTTTATGACGTAGCTAAGCTGGCTGTTAATCGAACTTAAAGCCAAAACGCTAATATTTTCCTCATAAAAACCTCTTCCTTGCTCTGAATATAAACAAAAACCTGTTCTGAAGCATGCGAATGAGTTTTTCTCTTCCTCATAAATAAAGAAAGCAAATCTCGTTGCGTAATAAAACCAATTGAACCTCTTTCCTTGATTTGGAGATCACCTTACTTATGAGGCCTATTATGAGGCAAGCAAACATTCGTAACGAAACGGTTAAGGGGCTCCATCCCATTCGCGTTGTGTATTACAACAAGTCCAAAATGACGACGCAGCTAAAGAAAATTCATTATACAGTCTCCAAAACTAAGTTTCACTTACATTGTGAAATCAAAGTTCAAATATTTTGATAAGAACATTTAGTCCACCATCAGTCAGAAAAAAAATATCACACTGTTAGTTGAAGTTGTAGTTGTTTATATACTTAGCACTAGGGATGAACAATGGGCTATTGATCATGGTCTAGGAAACATCCCTGAGGATGATCCAAAATCATGCCATCATAATTTTGATCCTCTGCGGAAAGGATGGCTCCCACGCTTTGGTAGCCCAATGATCTGCGTGTGAAGTCGAGAACTTTACGGTAGAAGAGTTTAACGGCGACCGATACTACACCCCCTCAGTCATTTCGCAGCGCGATCAAAATGGTTACCCACCCGCACACTGACCGTAGCCAGTGATACTTGACTTCAATGTTCTATAGTGAGTTGTGCCTGACAATCTGTGAAACATATCACCCTGGATAACATTTTTTCAACTGATCGGAACTCAAATTCCAAACTTAGTGGCTCAAAGGACTAACATCAAATATGTTAATCAATACCTACTAATTATTAAGTAAGTTACGGAATCAGACATAAGAAAAGTATTTTCTCTGAAAACATACATTTTCGAAGAATTTTGATTTATGACCACGAAAATAGAAGGGTAAAAAAACAACATGGAAGTAGAAAGCTACAAAATTATAAAACGTTATATCCTGACTCTCATTTTCCTGGCACTTTAATACAATAAAAAAATTGTTAACTGCATAATCTTTGTAAATTACACTACTCTCCATAGTTTATTTCATAATCTTCGTCGAACAGCTGACCCAATTTTTTAGGTTTACGACTATAAATGTTCAACTCCGTATCCTTGTAAATTTGAACCCAATCCAGAAGACACGGAAACTCCTAGATCAAGTAGGGGGAGAAATTTGCCTTTGTGGAGGATTTTTGTGATGGAACTAACCTGTATTTGTGTTGCATGGAGAGGAAAACCACGACAACCTCCCATGGTTAGCCTGACAGCAAGGGGACAATTACCCATAATCCGTCTACCACTGAGAATATTTTACGTCAGCACTGTGGTCGGCGCAAGCCGGATGCGGAATTCGTTTCTACCAGCTATTGCTGGAATTCGAACCCGGTACACCTCAATGGAAGGCGAGCATTCTATTCCCTGAACCATCACGGTTCCACTACTCTCCATATGTCATTAATCAGGGTTACTAAATGAATTTTTAAAAAAATAATAAACTATTCTGAAATTTGAAATTAAAAAAATTCCAGAATGTAATCTCGTCTAAGAATTATACATATATGTTTGATTACATAAAGTTATATATTGTAGGATCCACATATAGAACACCATTATCAAGCGGAATTTTAAAACTTCAAGAAGATGGTATTCTACATATTCTAAAAGAGCGTTGGTGGAAGCAGAAAAAGGGTGGCGGCAAATGTATGGATGATTCCAAAAAGTCATCTAGTGGAGTAACAGAGTTAGGCTTAGGAAATGTGGGAGGTGTTTTTGTTGTCCTTCTAACAGGTCTGGCTTTAGCTGCATTTGTTGCAGTTATTGAGTTCTTCTGGAAAGCAAGAAGACTTGCTCATGTTGATAGAGTAAGTACTTTTTCTAACCATTCAAAACTGTTAAAATCTTGAATCGAGATATACTTATCGAAGATAATTTTCTAAAACGTTTTTCGTCTATAAATGAAACAGTAGTAAAAATAACGATATACCACAACTAATATCCAGTACTATCTTTAAACATGGTCATAACTGGGCAGTGCCAAATACATTCCCAAGTGCATTGCTTTATAAATTTTAAAAAATATGTATTGAATAAAATATTTTATTGAATGAATCTAATAAATGAAATATATTCGATTAAATATATCTATTTTATTGAATTTGTAATCATTTTTATAAAACATTAATTATATTATGCGAGTACAGTACCAATAAATTACTTAAGTACTAAAGCGAAAGAAAATTATTTCATGAGTTTAAGTATACATTAGTTTAATGCAGAGTTGGCTGATTTAAGCCAATCTAGTTTCAGTTTTACATATATACCAAACGGGGTTTTTTTTAATCTTTTAGCTAATAACATTTTTTTTTTATTTAAGTACTTTTAATTTAACAAAATTAAATTTTAACATATATTTTTTCCCTTATGAGTCATTAAAGTTAATCTGCCTTACTTATAAATATAAATATAAATATTTCATTTTAAATGCTTACATATTGCTTTCCTGAAAAATATCTCTGTAGAACAAATTGATGTTAAAAAGTTTTAGGTTATAATTTATATCATAAAAATGATTAATTTTTTGTGTGTGAATTTTTTGCAGCTCAATTTTAAACAGTATGACATATTATACGGGTCCCCTTGGCTCTGGATACCATAAGGACGGCTCTTCTGCTAAAGTGCATTTTGAATAAAATAATGTTATTTCACAAAAGGATAAATTATTCACTGAGCTCAAAAATCAGTATTCCGAATATCCTAGTACTGTCGATACTTAAGTACATTACACTCCACATCGAAATTATTCGTGTGGATTATCCGTTATACGGTTTATTGACTGTCTGGGTTTTCGACAAATGGAAGATGTAAATGTAAGAATGATTTAAATACTATTCGTATTTTGTCTTTAGAAAATATTTTCCACTAAAATTTGTCTGTTCGAGATTTTGTTTCGTGATATTTTGTCCACTCGAAAATCTGTCCCACAAAATTTTGTCCGCTCGAAAATCTGTCCCACAAAATTTTGTCCGCTCAAAGATTCAATTCCGTGATATTTTTTCTACATGAGGTCCTGCACCTAGATATTTTTTGTCTGTGAGTAGAAATTGCATTGGATCTTCATCAGTTTCGTTTTTTCTTAATATTTATAACTTATGTGCTTTTTCAAAATTTCTTTAAAAAGGCTACTTACACATAAAAAAGAGATGTTTGAACATAGATAAATAGAACAGTTCATGTCTCCGTTATCCCCGTAACTTTCGTATCTCTTCATGTTTGGAATTTTTCCAATTATCCTCGAATTCTGAACGATAGATGCTCTTTCTGGATTTTGTTTTATTTAGCACTGCCAATCTCCTAGTCCCTCAGATAAGTTGAAGTATATCTTGCGCTAACAAAATCGACTGTCATCCTAACTACTGACATTTCATGGTCAGTTAGAATATATAGTTATAAAATATTACAGGGTTTTCAGCAGAATTTTGACTAATTTCAAAACTAAGAATCTTGGAAACAAAACGGTGTTAGAGGTTTATTATGAAAGCTATAAAACTTTTATACAGAAAGGTTTTATTTAAAAAATAGTTATAAAAGATACCCACATATGGCGGTGTAAGCTATCGATTACCAGAAGGATCAGTTTTAGCATTGAAACGTGAAACGAAATTGTAACTAATTGTTGACTACCATGTATTCTATTGGACATCGTCTGTTTCAGAGATAGAATATCACATATTAGATTACAGTTCAATGGCATTTCTATTTGCTTCAAGAACATCATAAAGCGTGTCGAGACATCTGTTGGCAACTTTTGAAACTAAATAATTCTAAACGTTATATATAAAATTTTTACCACTTTCACAATAAACATACTATTAGTTTCATTCCTCTATTATCCTTTGTTCCCGAAACTTTTAATTTTGAAATCAGTCAGTCCTCCACTAGACATCCAGTATAAGCACCTTAAAAGTGAAATATTATTAAAATTTTATAAAATGAAAGACGTTAATGTAGTACTTATTACTCATTAGGAAAATGGGTGACCTAGGTTTACATGTCCGTTCACGTTTTGACTAGATCATCAACTAAATTTGACTATCGTATGGCCCCAAGCAACGTGCGTGTGACGAAAGAGATGCTTAGAGGAGAAAAGAACGTGCGCCCGGGTCACCATTGTAAATAATCCAGTGTTATCACTATTGAAGGATGATGGCGGTTACATTTAACGAATATAAACTTTAATGTAATTAGCTTCTTGGTTATTAGTTTGCATACAAATCATGAGGTAGGTAAGTACTTAATTTAAATCGCACTAGAGCCGCACAATGGGCTATTGGCGACGGTCTGAGAAACATACCTGAGGATGATCCGAAGACATGCCATCGCAATTTTGATCCTCTGCAGAGGGGATGGCTCCACTGCTTTGGTGGCTCAACGACTTGCACACGAAGTCGAGCACTGTACGGTTGAATAATTTAGCGAGGACCGATACCACGTACCCTCTGTCCCTACGCAGGCTGATTAAAGTGATCACCCACCCGATTACTGACCGCAGCCAGTGACGCTTGACTTCGATGTTCTACTGGGAAACGTGTCTTTACGATCAGTCCACTGCGAGACTACAAAACATGAATTTGACTTTGGCGCGGCCCCAGGCAACATGCTGCAAAAATGAAGTCTGGTGGAAAAGGCACGAACCCCAGCAATGTGAGTGTGACGAGAGCGGTGTGTGGAGGGGAAAAAACGCTTGGCACCTTTTGCCGATTAAAAAAAGTTCGTAGTAGAAGTTGTAGTTCATGTTGCGAGCAGTGTCTCTGGCGCACGTAGCGCCATCTGTTAGACTCTGCTACACTTGAAATATTGTGGCGTTTTTAAAAGTCTATCGAAAAAAACATCTGATTAATGTGAGACATAAGTGATCGCCACGTTGTGATGATAATTTTTTCTCATTTGCAGTTAATCGTCATTACATAGATATTATATGATTTTAGTTTATATGTTTTAAATTTCAATTGCAGGAACCTCTATGTAAAGAGATGTTCCGTGAGCTAAAGTTTGCTCTTTCCTGTCGAAGCTCTACAAAACCAGTTATTGGAAGGAAACAAGACAATTGTGGAGAATTCAGAGTATCAACTATACCAGGATACAGTACCCAGTATTAAAAAATGATTTTTAGGTGCTTTTAGACATTCAAACAAAGTTGTATGAAGCAACTTGTGAGACAAACTCTCTTAGCTGACAAAGAATGTTGGGGCGTTTTATAATTACCATGGAACTTAAGAGTAGTCTTTTTTTATCACCAGTAACAAAATGGTTTTAGCCTCTTTTTCATTAGGTTAAAGTCATTCAGCCACCGAAACATTTATACATGTTAGATAAAGTTTTTATTATAACCGAACATAGACTGAAACATTTTGAAGGAAATTATTTGGTGGCATTTTTGCAATAACTATTTTATATAACTGAAAAATCTCATTTATCGTCTGTGTTCATACTGTAAGATATTTTAAATTACAATTATTCTATTGTTTGTGTAATTTTGAAACCTAATTTTCTTCTTTAATCCGATTTCGATGTACCTGAATAATATAAACACGAACTAAATTATTCAGTCCCGCTTCCATAGACTATAATTCGTTTATTTTATTTTTTTATTAAGTGCTCGCGATTACTTTTGTGAAATATTTAATTATAAGTCTACTATGCCTCATTTTTATAATTGCAAATGCTTAATTCGCAAACTAATAACTACGTAAAAATTGAGACGACAAAGTTTGTTTGTTTATATGGGAGCTATCAAAACCGTTCCTCTTAAATCTACCGCAGAATGCTAAATCTAAAGGGAAAAATATTTTCTAACACAATTATCTCAAAAAGCTGTAAATCGAACTTTAATCCTGTTTGCATTCTATAAAGAAAAATAAGATCGTATAATTGGTAAAATATATTTTTCCAATATATATATATATACTACCGGTCAAAAGTTNATATATATATATTTCAAAATTTCGCATTAATTTTTAAAGTTAAAATTACAGTTAAAAAAATAAAAAGTTTACTTTAAAAAAATCAAATTTAGAGGTACGAGACTTTTATTTATGGAATACAAAAAAAGAAGAGCATTGGAATTATAGATTGAACGAGTCAACAGATTAACAGATCAGAAATGAGCATTTTCCCCATAGACAGCGTTAGGCTCGAATTTTAAGATGGTCGGTAGTCAGTTCTTTAATAAAACCAACAAAAAAATGATAAATGGTTTAACATATAATGTAATGAAAATTAATATAGAACAATACCGATGCATTCAATTGATTATTTCCCTACAAAACTGTTCAGAATGAATTAAGAAAAATTTCGTAAAATTTTTATATTACAATTTTCCTAACGTATATTTTTACACTCATTTAATTAAGGTATACCTTAAAATTAACTATCAGATTTTTGAAACCTTTTTAAAGATTTCTGTTTTAAACTTCAGAGTATATATCCTTTCTTTTTTTTTCGTTTTAAAACCTGTAAGTATTAGTGGGTGCAAACTTACACAAGTGTATAATATCGTTGATGAGAAGGTAATAAGGAATTGCAACTTGGAAAAAAAACGAAAAAGGACTTCAAACTAAAAAAACTATTGAGACTATCATTTTCCTAAATTTTATTTGATTTTTCTAAAAATTGCAAGAACAAAAAATGAAATTTTAAATTTTTTTTCTATCTTTTTAATGGAAATACTATTGTTATTAAATTCAAATTTTAATGTAATAAAGGAAACTAATGAGATGTAACCAAGTTTGATGAAATATACAGCCAAAATCATTGAAAGATGTTTTTAAGATAACTTATTTTAGCAGCCACAACTATTGAAGTATGTTTCTAAAAAGAAAAATATTCAAAGATAAAATCTTTGAAATATATTCGTTTCTAAGATAATCTATATATTTACAGCTATAATCATTAAAATATGTTTCTAAAATTATTATTTAAGCCAAATTTATTGATTTTTATACAACCCAAACCGTTGATTTCTGCAGCTACGATGCATTTTCTAATAATGAAAAATCTAAATTTATCATTATTGAGAACATCGTTAGTTCATTAACTAAAAACTAAAACCACTGCATTAATAGGTGTAGTTTCTTTAATTTTACCAGTTAATTTTAACTACTGCTTAGCATTAATTTAATTTTTTCTAAATTATAATAAAATTAGCTTGAAAAATACAAATAAACTTCATTTTTTTTAAACTACGTGCCTCTAGAAATTGACGAAAAGAAATTTGTTTTCATAAATATTTCAATCATTTTAATTACGTCTAAAATCTCAAAGTGTCAAATACCGATTATTTTTCATACGAGCTTTAACTCTTAAATAACAAGACTGATACTAATAAGAAAAGAAAAGTTTTTTTTTTCTCAAAAATTATCAAATTTTGATTCTGCTCACTTTTGAGCAACAGTCTTACCTATCCCTTCCACCCACTCCATATGAATCTTCCATACTTGAAAGCTTGCGTGGCGTTACTTCAGTTGTCCTTGTACATCAACGCAATATTCAATTTAATTCTATTCTATTGTTAAAAGCAATGTAAAATGTCAACGCCATTTTCACGATTTTCATTGATTTTGCCTTCACGTAAGCAACAGTAAGCATTCATTACTTTTAACCTGAACTTGGTTTTGGTGATGGAAATTCAATTGAAGCATAATCAAGTTCCTATGCCCGACACTTAAACTTGGGGTTGCAATGTTAAGCTATTTCTTTTTAAAGCATATTGTGCACTGTTGCGTTTTCTTTTTTATATTTAATCTGAACTCATGAAAACGCTTGAGTTTTGCTCCTTTTTTTTAAGAATCCATCACTGTCTTGATGAAGAATTCATGAATTGTCTTGAAAGTTCCAAGAATTATCTATCTGGAATAAAGCATTAGATTCTGCGAACAATTCATCAAAATTCCATAAATAAATGCCTTTAATGTTCCAATTTGATTCCATATACATCTGTGATTTTTGCCGTGATTCAATTAATTGATGTCACGTCCACCTTAATTCGTTTAATTGTCTTAATAAAAAAGTCCGTGAAAATTTTTTGTAATATTTCCTTCTTTTCCGCAAGAATTTAACAGATAAAAATAAAAAGCTGAGATGATTTACCTTTTTAATTTTTTACTGTAGACATTATTTTAAGCATATTGAGACTTATCTGTAGTTAAACGGCATTCAATTCTAGGAATAATCGTCGTGTTAGTATTCTTTTCGAGTACACACTATGTATAACTACTAACATTTACATTTTCCCCCATGTATTTCCCATATAGTAGCAAAATTTATACCTTAATAATTAATTAAATTAATAAACTTGATTTAGAGTTAAGCGGCTCAATACTTTTAAATAATTGGAACTTATAAAGGATCCGAAAATAATTGAGAAAATTTGAAATGGTAGCAAAAAAAAATTTCTAGTCTTAAATTAAGTACTTTAAATATTTTTCAAATATAACTAGGTGAAAAAAAAAGTATAAAAGATGTCTTCTACGCAATTTGTTAAATCTCACCTATTTACTTTTTTATTTATATTTACTTTTCACCTATTTACCTATTTACTTACTTTTTTAGTTACTTTTTTGTCAAATAAATTTTAAAGCTATCAGATACTTTCACATAATACAAAAAGAATCTGAAGAATTTTTTTAAGTGTTAAAAAAAAAAACAGAGAAAAAAAGAATCTCACTATAAAATGGATAAACTCTTTCAAATACACGATATCAAGAGTACCGTTTGGTAAACATTGTTTTTGTGCAAAAATTCAACGCTATGGCAAGTGATAATGTCAACAACTTTTATACTATATTTGGTGCAATGTCAATTAACGTTTGAAAGATAGCCAATTAAATACAATGTACCATATGAATATATGGCATGATATCCTTATTAAATTGACTCAAGAAATAATCTTTACTTATTTAACAACGTAAGATTATATTCCTTTATATTTATTATTTGTTTTCAAAACTAAGAATAATTGGACAAAATATATCAGCTATTGCTTTAGCCTTAGTCTGTAAGTCGGCGACATTAATACTTTTATTCTGCTGGCAATAAATATTGTGACTGATTTACTCCATTGGCATTAGAGATTTAAGTCGTAAAAACTTTTTTATACGAAAAATTTATCCGTAATAAAAGATAGTGAATCTTAAACTTACGAATAATTTATTTTTAAAAAATACTTCATCTTTGGTTCCATATATAATTCACTATTACTGCTCAAGTTATTGTAACAAATAAAAGCTTTGCTTTTATGTTTCATTATCTCTCGCAGTCGTGTTTTTTCCTTAAAAATGATTTTTAATTACGTTTAATAATAATTTTCAACAAATAGCACATCTTTGGTTTCCATAAACTATAATTAATTATGTCATTCTCACAAAAAGGTGTCAGATTTATGTTTCTTTATCTTTCTCAGTTCTGTTTTTTGTATAATAATGATTTTTAATTGAAAATAATTCCTAATCGTATACATTAATTCTATTATGAAGTTTAATAATGATATTCGTTTAATAATGATTTTCAACAAATAGCGCATCTTTGGTTTCCATAAACTATAATTAATTATGTCATTCTCACAAAAAGGTGTCAGATTTATGTTTCTTTACCTTTCTCAGTTCTGTTTTTTGTATAATAATGATTTTTAATTGAAAATAATTCTTAATCGTATACATTAATTCTATTATGAAGTTTAATAATGATATTCGTTTAATAATGATTTTCAACAAATAGCACATCTTTGGTTTCCATAAACTATAATTAATTATGTCATTCTCACAAAAAGGTGTCAGATTTATGTTTCTTTATCTTTCTCAGTGCTGTTTTTTGTATAATAATGATTTTTAATTGAAAATAATTCTTAATTGTATACATTAATTCGATTATAAAGTTTCTGTGTCATAAACTGGCATTACAATTGATTGATTAGACCTGTTTAAGACCGAGATAAAGTACGGTTTTGAATGCCTCACGTTTTAGCATGATATTTTACATGAAAAAATATTTAAAAACTTCATCATTTTTTTCTTATATGCTCTAATAATATTCTTCCAAATCTTCCAATTATAAATAGTTTTAGTGCCAATAAATAATAAAATATTTTTATGACCAAATTTTCCCAGGAATCACTTTTCTTTTGATAAAAAGCACATTTGCTCGGATATTTCTGGCTTAAAAGTTGTAAATGATGAACAAAAGTTGTTTTGAAAGAATGAGAAAATAGCTTTGAGCTTACTATAAAATTCTCATTAAAGAGAAATTCTTGATCGCAAAAATTATATGATCCTAATAAAAAAAGATATCTCTTTATTGTGATAAAAAAAAGCCAAAACATATTAAAAATCATCTTTTTGCTATGAAATACAACAGCACAATCTACCTATTTCGTATGTAAAATCTGCAGAGAAAAAAAAACATATTTCTTATGCAAAACATTTGTTATGATAAAACATATTTCGTATTCTAACTCAAAAAAATATGCAATAAGTAAGAAATATTATGGAAGCGAAAAGAAGCATACATATTGCTTTTATAACTCTTTCAGTTATGTTGAGAAATGTCATAGGATTTAATGAAATAGTTTGGTTTGAAACTAAACTCAGATCTATATTTAAAAAATATTAGAAATAGTATGGTGTGTTATTGCTAATGTACGATATGAGTTATTGAAAAACGTATACATTTCATACAAAACAATTTTTGTCGACTTTATAAAGCATATATAAATCTCCAAAAGGGATAAGGTATACTTTGTGCTATGACTAAAGCAAAAAAAAAAAAAATGAAAATACAAAAATAGACATACTATAGTTTCAGTTTTATAAACAACAACCTTCCTCAGTGTCTAAACACCAAATGATGGTCAACAAGCGGGTGCAAAGTG